CACACCCCACACCCCACACATCATGCACACCACACACCATACACCCCATATACACACACATCACATATACACACACCACATACACACACACTGCACTCAAATACACCCCACACATCATGCACACCACACACGCACACACCAAACACACCATAGATATACACACCACACACACACACACACCATACACACCACATATACACACACCACATACACACATACTGCGCTCGAACACACCCCACACCCCACACATCATGCACACCACACACGAATGCACCGCACATCACACATACCACACACTCCACATACACACACACATACTACACCCGTCACACACCACACGCCGTCCTCTCCGCTCCGCCCTCCCCAATCCCTTCCCCTCGAATTGCAGACAGGCCCTCCTGGGGCTGGGGGGCGGTTACCTCCTTGGAGAGCCGGGTGAAGAGGTCCCCTCCGCGCAGGAAGTCCAGGATCAGGTAGAGTTTTCCTTCCGTCTGAAAGGCTGCGGGGGAGAGACATTTGAGCGTCCGACAGCGGCGCAGCCTCCTTGGAGTGGAATCGTTCACCCGGACCCAGTCCCTTTGCGGTCCCGAAGCCCAGCTCTCTTTGGCTCAGACACCACGTCCACCTGTGAGGCGGCCGCTGCAAACACGGCCGCGGCCCCTGGAGCCCGCCTGGGGGGCAGAGCCCGGGGAGCCGCGGCCCTGGGAAGGGCGACTCTCCCGCTTCTGTTAAGAGTTCTGAGATTTTTTTCTTTTCTTTGTTTTTTCTCCCCTCCTTCCTTCCCTTCTTAATCACAGAAGGCATTAAAAGGTACACAGGGAGAAAGCATTTGCACATTCAAACTTGTCCCCATCATTGCCACTATTAATATTAGGCTCCGGTTACAACCGAGTCGTATTTAGAAAGTCGCGTTTGCTGTGACGTGTTTCGTGAGCACGTGAAGGTGGGTCTGGCGCGCACGGAACAGAGCGCCGCCGCCTTCCCTCCCCACGGAACCGCGTTCTCACAGCTCAGGGCACGGGGGCCACCACCTGACTTCTTTCGTGGCAGGGCTGGGGACCGGCCAGTCGGCCACTACACATCACGAAAATGGGGCTCATGCCCTTGGTCTGGGCACGGTGGGCTACACTGGGGGTTGCTTTTATGATTTAGGCCACAGACGGTCCACGTAGCTCCGTCCACCGCTGACAAGGACGTGCCCCGGCAAGGGGGACGAGCCACGTGCGAGGACCAGGAGAAACCAGCCACCAGCACTGCTGTCTCGGTGCCAGTTCAGCATCTTGCCGGCCCATCCCTTGGACTGTATTTTGCACATACGGAAGTACGGCTGGAAGGGGTCCTGATATCCCTGCATCCTCGGAAACTTCCTGTTTCCTAAAAGTAACTGCTAGAACCCTCATAGATGCTGGGGGCTTAGACACTTGTGCCTCTGGCCAGGAAGCCCTCTGTCCAACCGTGTGAAGTGAGTGTGGATTAAAGACTCCGTCCCGGGCCAGGATGGGCGGATGGAGATCTCGTGTCAACCGCAGAGGGAACGCACAGCCTCTGTTCTTCGTTTCTTCAGGGAAACGCCCTGGGAGCCGATTTCAACGACGACAGCAAATCGGCAGCAGAGGAGGTGGCCGTAGGAAGGCTCGCACTGCGCCTGGCCTCGCCCACAGCGGGTAACCGGTGCGCCTGGCACACAACACGTATTCGCTCCCACTACTTGTGAAAGAACAGGCCCCATGATTTACAAACAAGACTGTTTCCTTAGTCATGTCAGACATTAGCCAGCAAAGAGCTAGAAGTCTCCTCCATCCTGTCTTGGGGCAGGAGGTCATGCTTTTGCCATCTCCTGAACAACGAGGTCTAGTTTTATTGTTCTTTTCTGTACTTCACTTACATTGTTTGAGCAGTAAATTTTAATGTAGTGTGGCATAATTCTGGAGTCACTCTTTCATTAAATTTTTTTAATTTGAGGATTTTACTTATTGTTTCTCAATTGAGATGAAAAGGCAGACAGCAAACTGAGAGAAGCTGTGTGGGACAGCAGACCTGTGGCCTTCAGTAAATTATTTGATCTAAGCCTCAAAAAATGGAAATAATAACCTACTTTGAATGGAAGTTTTCAGGGTTCATTGAGCCACTAGCTTTAAAATGCTTAGTAGGATTTTAAAAAACACAGTAGCACTGAAAACATTGGTGTTGCCATTTCTGGTTTAAAGAAATTACTGGGTCACAAAGCATTTTATTTTAAAATAACAAAAATATGTCATAGATTCATCCCAATCTAGAGCAAGAAATCTTTCTACTGAATTATCAGTGGTGCTAATTTAATCATAATGGATAGCCCCATCTACAATTAGGTCTTTGAGATGAAAACAGGGTACCTCGCTCTTTTAGAGAGAATGAACACACAAGAGATTAAGAAGGGGAGATAAGGTACCTTCCTCCCCAGACAGGACAGCACTGTAGGACACAGGGAGGGATTTCTCTTTCAGATCTATTATTTTTAAAGAACTTTCCTTTGTTCTGGAGAAGGTCGCCCTGGGTCCTCTCAGAGGTGTCATTTTAGCTCTATTTACCGTAATGAAGCTTCACGATGAAAGGGTGGTTCACTTCCGCCAGGATGTCTCTCTCCATCTTGGATCTGACTCGGTCCCGAACTGCGGAGCAGAAAGACAAAGGCTTCAAGGCGGGATTAAGAGTCCGAGGAACACCGGATATAAAATCCTGGATGTGACTAATCCCCCCAACTTTGTATTATGAAAATTTCAAACATACACAAAACTTGAAAGAGCAATATAATGATCTTGGATTTAGGAATTATTTACATTTTGATACATTTTCTTTCTTTCTCTCTCTCCAAAAAAAATTGAAAATAAATTGTAGACAATCCATAGTCAGCACCACCATGTCATTCACCCCCCTTACTTTTCCAACCTGGGATCCAGTCCAGGGTCACTCATACTGGTTGTTAAATTTCTTTATTTTGCTCCTAGAAGGGAACAGTCCCACACCCCACTTCCCCCGGTACTTTTTTGTGGGCTTTTTGGTAAGTCCAGGCCAGTTTTCCTGTAGAACAGCGGTCCCCAACCTCTTCAGTACCAGGGACTGGTTTCATGGAAGACAACTTTTCCACGGACTGCCTGGGGGTGGGGGAATGGTTTCGGGATGATTCAAGCGCATTTCATTTATTGTGTACTTTATTTCCATTATTATTACATTGTAATATATGATGAAATAATTATACAACTCGCCATATTACAGAATCAGTGGGAGCCCTGAGTGTTTTCCTATAACTAGATGGTCCCATCTGGGGGTGACGGGAGACAGTGACACCCGAAGTGTGTTGTTTATGTCCAGTCTACTCTGTAATCTATTTTGGTTGCTGTCACTGCAGAAAACCATGATTCACAAAGATAGGATGTTGGAAATGGAAGCAGGTTTTTCAGTGCTTTTGTGGCAATCTCAGGATATTCCACCTTGACTTCAATCTAAAACGTAGATTAAAAGTTGTAGATTTGAAGTTGTCTCAAACATACTTTTAAGGCCACAGTTGTCTGCAATCTCAAGCAATCGATACTCTTCTAGCACAAGCAAAGTCGATTCACCTGGCTTAATCAAAAATGGGTCACAGATCCATCCTTCCCAGTTTGCAGGTCTTTTGTGGTTGGGCAGGAATGCTTAAACTCTTTTGAAAGCTGAGGTAGGTGATCATGCACCACCCAGGAAAAAGAAGGCCCTGGCTCATTCTCTTCCAAAATCTCTGCTAATGTTGGAAACATGTCAAAAACCCCAATGTTCACTCGTCGCCCCCATAATTCCAGTTTGGCTTTGAATGCAGCCACTCTATCTGCCGACTTGAACACAATTGTCGTTCTCCCCTGAAGGGACAGATTGAGTTCCTTGGGCAGGTTGAATATGTCACACAAGTAAGCAAGTTTTGAGACCCATTCTGTGTCACAGAAATGTGCTGCCAGTGGTGACTGTTTTTCTAAAAGAAATCTCTGGAACAGCTCTTGTAACTCAAGAACTCTGGCCAGTGATCTACCTTTATAAAGCCGTCTCACTTCTGTGCGTAAGAGAAGACATGCGTGCTCTGCGTCCATCTCCTCACAGAGCTGCGTGAACAGACGTGAGTTAAGGGCATGCACTTTAATGTGGTTGATGATTTTAATCACATCCTGCAAAACGTTGTTTAGTTCAGGTGACATTTTTCGGCCAGCCTACATTTCTAGTGTGTAGACTCATATTCAGAAGTGACTTCCTTGACCCAAGTAGTGAAACCAGAAAGCCGTCCAGTCGTGGCAGCTGCTCCGTCCATGTCCATATGACACAAAATGACCCATTCACTGTTCCTGATATGTAATCATTCAAAGACTTGAACACTATTGCAGCTGTGGTGTTGGTTGGCAACAAAAGTGCATAGAACACATCCTCATGTACATCTTCCGGAAAAATATATCGCACAAAAACAAGCATTGTCGCCTTGTTTTGTCAACATCGGTGGCCTCGTCAACCTGGATTGTGTACCACGGTGACTCATTAATCCTCTCTAACAGTTGTGCCTCAGTATCCCCTGCTATTGCATCAATCCATCTGGTTATAGTGGTAGCCGAAAGGGGAACAGGTGCCACCTTTGAAACTGCAGCCTCTCCTTAAAGTTCACGGCCCATGTCCTTAGCAGCAGGCAGGACCAACCCTTCACCAACAGTAAAGGGCTTCTTAGCTTTAGCAGTGCGGGTAGCCGCTAAGAATCATGCTCTCAGTGCAGACACGTTTGATGAGGTGGTGGCCTTCAGTAATTGCTTCTGTTCTTCATGTTCATATTTTTCCTTTTGAAAAACTCCAAAGGCTTGTCTTTTAATGCAGGCTTGGTCTCCATGTGGCCAAGCAGTTTTGAAGGTTTCATGGCTTGACTGGATAGCCGGTCGCCATATACAAAGGGGCTTGGAGAATGTGAATCCCCTAGTGCAATGAACCTGTAATTTAAGGAGGACTCTTGGTATTTTATTTTAAATGCAGCTTTCATTTTGTTGGCAGTCTTAGGGTCTTCTGCTGTCTCTTCATTGGGTCTTTCCCCCTCTTCAAAGCAGCTCTCCAGCGACGTTTGCTTTTTACTTATTTTGCTGCGGTTAGCTGTGGGCTCAGCAAAACGGTGACTGAGACAAATGTGCAGTGCGGGAAAGATGCAAGGACGAAAGTGGTAAATAAAATAATGGGTGGGCCACACACGGACTAAAATAAGTGTCAGATCCTGACTTAAAGCTGCCAACAAATGCAGCTTAATTGTCACTTGCCACTCACTGATAGGGTTTTGATAAGAGTCTGCAAGCAATTGATTTATTAAGGTCTCTGTGCAGTCAAACCTCTCTGCGAATGATAATCTGTATTTGCAGCTGGTCCCCAGCACTAGCATCACTGCCTCAGCTCCACCTCAGATCATCAGGCATTAGATTCTCATAAGGATCACAACCTAGATCCCTCCCATGCGCGGTTTACAGTAGGGTTCTCGCTCCTATGAAGATCTAATGCCGCCACTGATCTGGCAGGAGGTGGAGCCCAGGTGGTAATGTGAGTGAAGGGGAATGGCTGTAAATACAGATGAAGGTTTGCTTGTTCACCCACTGCTCACCTCCTACTGTGCGGCCCGGTTCCTAACAGGCCACAGACTGGTACTGGTCCATTGGCCTGGGGGCTGGGGACTGTAGATGTAGAATGTTCCACATTCTGGGTTTGTCTCATAGCTGCTCAACTGATTTCTCTAGCCCTTGCATTTCTTGTAAACTGAGGTCTGGTCTGGAGGCTGTATAAGTTCAAGGCTAAACATACTTGGTGACCAGGTGCTGCCTGTACCTGACTTCATGAGCCCCTGAAGGTCACACCAGGCCAGCCTCTCTAGGCGATGCTAAATGTCATTCCTCATTAAGGGGGTAAGTCATCCTCTTGCCACCCTAAGGATCTGCAGGTCCCTTTGCGAGTGAAAAGTAACCCAGGGGCTAGTAGAAGCTGGTGTCTCTGTGATCCCTCTGGTGAGACTCACTTTTTTTTTTTTTTTTTGAGACAGACTCTTGCTCTGTTGCCCAGGCTATAGTGCTGTGACATCGGCCTAGCTCATAGCAACCTCCAACTCCTGGGCTCAAGCGATCCTCCTGCCTCAGCCTCCCAAGTACCTGGGACTACAGGCATGCGCCACCACGCCCAGCTGATTTTTCTATATATTTTTAGCTGTCCAGCTAATTTCTTTCTATTTTTAGTAGAGACGGAGTCTCGCTCTTGCTCAGGCTCGAACTCCTGACCTTGAGTGATCCTCCCACCTCGGCCTCCCAGAGTGCTAGGATTACAGGCGTGAGCCACCATGCCTGGCTGTGACTCATTTTTATTAAAACATTCATCCATTCATTTTTGAAAAAATAGTTCCTGATGTGGATAAACATAAGACAGCCTGTTTATCAAACACAACTGCAGCCATTCACCCGGGAGGACGCGCTGAAAGGCAAGACTTCACGCCAGCATCTCGGACAGTAGTAACAGGTGCTCTCTCGACACACGCTAATCCCCCTGGATAAGAAACGTCGAGACTCCCAGGTGGGTCTCTTGTGTCCACCACCCTCGCTCTGCAGCAGAGAAGAACAAGGAGGAAAAGCAGAGCGATCCACAGAGGAGACGCTGTGAAGAACCCCTCCCTCTCCTGCCTCCCCCCTCACAGGTTCCAGTGGCCTCGGCCAGCGTGAACAGCACGAGGAGTTCATAAAAGCAAACACTGGGATCTATTTATGCAACAGAAGACACAGAAGATGCTAGCTAACGACTTGGAGGAGGAAAAGGACACTTAAAGCAGTAGACTCATAAGAACTTCTCTCAAAATGATAGCAAAGGCCTGACAAGGAGGCGTGGGGAGGGGTAGACGCAGGCAGGCTCGGCAGGGCCAGGGCGGGAGCTGCAGTGTGGCGGGCCGTGGCTGGGGGCTTCTAAAACGGTAAACAAGAAGTCTGTCTGTCTGTGTGTCTGTGTCTCTCTCTCTTTCTCTCAGAGCTACCGGCTGGCATCAAATCACATTAAACTCGATAAGGAAAATTTCTCAGCCACTTGTCATGCAGATAACAGGGCAGCCACTGTGGACTCATGGGCTCTGCCACGCCCTGGACGTGGGCTGCTTCCTCGCGCTGGAAACCTCATCAGACGCTCTGGCCAGGCTTCCAGCACTGTCCTTGATCTCAGCAGAGCAGAGCAGGCGAGCAGGGCCCGCAGGAGAGGTCTTCTGACATCCCAATGTGCTTCCTCTTCTGGGGAGAAGTCCCTGTTCCACCCTTTTGTCCCCTGAGTGCCCACTGACACGATGTGCTGAGCAGGGTGGCGGAGATCAGGGATTGTGTGTTCCTACACCATCTTCCCATTTCCTCGCAAAGCTTAGCCTTCGACTCTGGTGAGGATTATCTAAAAGTCTTCTAAACAGGATTGATACTATTGAAGTCAGATCTATTTGGAATGAAGAACAATGTTAGCCACGTATCTGATGTCAGCACGGGCAATGGAAACCAAAGGCCATGGGAAGCTTGGTAAAAAATTAGGGAAAGGTATCTTCTATTTAAATTTCTAAGGGGCTGTCTAGTCACAGCAGAGAAATGAACGTAGATCTATCTCCTCTCTACCTACACTAAAT